AGCTAGTAAGCTTATTCATTTTGACCTGGCTATGACTAATTTTCGCTATTCTACTTTACTTTCATAAATTACCATCAATACCTATTGATTTCATTTTTTTCTAATTATCTCCACTTTTAACTTTCTATCTAGGTCCTGCCATTAACGACGTTACTTTTCGTGAGCTCGAAATACTCATGAATACACTTTCTGGCTTTGTCCCTCCTGTAGCCAAGGCCCTGAAAGAACGCCGATTGATACTGGCCGAAACCGGACAGGCTTCGCCTTGTATCGATCTGCGTTTGTTGGCTAGCAATCTTGTAAAACTGGTTACTCGAGAGCAGGTGGGTAGACTATTCTTTTCAAAAAAACGCAACCTTTTTTGAATGGGCTCGACAGCCCTATTCGGGCTCCCCTAACAACGTTATTACCATTCATTCCAGCAGCCTTTTACAATGCTCAACTAGTTTTTACGATAATGGACAAGGGTTTGTCATGGACAAATTATTTCAGGTTTCCTTAGACATCACTCACATCGAAATAGTTTAATTTTGATACCATTATAGGTCCCCTTTTAATATCCTTTATTTCCCAAAGCTTTATGCTCTAGCTATTATTTGAAGGCGATTTTTTTATGTTGAGAAACATCGTTTCCCATTATATATTCCTCAGAAAAGTAACCTAAAGGTTATATATTCAGATTGCCCAGATTATTACGAAAAGCCGATTATGAGGACTCCATTACTACAATGCTATTGACTTTCCTTTCATATCACCTGAAGAGACTAGTGAAAAGGATTCATAAATCTTGCTGGCTATAAGCCGGAAGAATATTGCCTCAGAGTTTTGATTTTAGATTTGTGCGAATAAGTCCTCTGCGCGTTGCTAGCCAGTTTATTATTTTAGCCATGTAATAAAATTAACATCCATCAAAGATATGAAGACCAAAATGGTGTGGCCTTTGGCATAGTCGTAATCTCTGTTCAATGTATAGAAGTGAACTGACCTCGTTTTCTCAACTTGCTCGTGTTAGGATGATTTGGTTTGATGCAGCTTGTTTGAAGTCCTTTGCTATAGTAGTTATCATAATTATCTGTGTGGGACCGTGGACTTGTTACATTCCTAGATGTTTCGCCGGCATCGTCAGTGAACCTTGCACCAAACTACAACTCATCAAAATGACAAGTGAATTAATTCCCTTGACCAAATCTTTTGCCTAAACGGTTGCACTATAACTCCTCAAGAGATGTGTCCTTTTTGGTAAGCTTAGGGTAGCGTCAACACACCTGCTGTTCATCTTTTCCTTACCCTTCTCTCTCTAATTGCTGATCCGAATTGGGCCTCCTATCCGGTCCCCTCTGATGTGTCGGTAGATGCGTTTCTTATCTTTCTGGTTGACCGGTTTCAATGGGTTCCAGCCCCAATGTACGTTTCACCCCAAGCGCTTTTTCTCGAGCCTTCAGAAGCGCAGACACTGCGCCTCACCAAGCAGAGCGTCTAGTATGATCCCAACGCTAGCAGATATTAGGCATTGCCCTCACGGGTCGTCTCCTTGATTAAACCCATGTACCCTGAGCAAACTGTGAATGTATCCCTGGTCGCCTGCTACATCTCGACTGGATTTCTAGTCAATATTTGCCATAATGCCGAATTTCAATGGCGATTGTGATTATGTGACTGTAAGGCCCCTAAATTTATAGTTGCTTCCTTCAGCCGACCACACTCATCGAAAACGTCTTCGCTTGATTTCCCAAACTTTCTCACTTACTCTCTCCTTGAGATCACTTCTACTCTGGTTAACGATAAATCCTTTATTTAGGTGTATTTTTTTGCTGGTCTTGTCGTATCTTTGTTTTCTCCGAGTTTGCTTAAACAATAGGCAAAGTTATTTAAAAACATCACACAGACTGGACATGATATCAACTGGAAGGCAACAGAAGAAGGGCATCGTCTGATTAAAACACAAAGAAACGGAAGATAAGGAAGGCCATTGACATCCTTGTGGAAAAAAATTAATGAACAATAGATTGGAAGAAGGCAGAGTTAGCGATTACTTTGCCTATTTGAAGATATGAAGCCCAAGATGGTGTGGCCTTTTGTGTGGTCTCAGTCTCCATTCGTTGTATAGAAGTTGTTTGACCTTGTTTTCGCAACTAGGCCATAATGGTAGGAAGACTTATAGAAACGCACCTTGTCCTGAGTCCATTGTATGCATAATTATTTCCAATGGTCACATTGGTAGGAAGACTTATTGGAACGCACCTAGTCCGGGGTCCATTGTCTGCATGATCATTTCCAAAGTAGGACCGTGGACGTGGTACATTCCCAGACGTTTCGCCGGCATCGTCAGTGAGTTTCACCATATTACAATTTGTCAAAGAGACAAGTGAAGCCGATCCTTTGATCAAACGTGTGCTAAACAGTTGTGGTATCTCCCCTTCTGCCCTGGCCTATTCACATTTCGTATCTCCTCCAATAACGCCTTCACTATCACAATATTTTACTTGTTTAATTAACTCTGGTACGGTGTGCCCTTTTGAGCGGCTTTCATGAGAACCCTCCGCACTCCGCGCTGGCCTTCTCACCGCCCTTCATCCTTGTGATAGGAATGTTAATCGGAGTCTGCCATATTGTTACGCAGTCCTCCTTCCTTAGGTCTTACCCCAGTCTCTCTCTTGCCTAGTAAGATCCGTCTGCCCTCTCTGGTTCACATATTTCACTCGACCCCTGCCACTCCATCTGTGCCAACTTGA